GGGGGGGGGGGGGGGGGCACTTACCAGCCGTTGATCTCATTGGGGGAGTTGACGTCCGCCCCGCTCTGCAGCAGGCGCCGAACCTCCTCCAGGTCCCCCAGAGCGGCCGCTTCCCGCAGCCTCTCCTGCAGCTCCCTCTCCTCCAGGGGGCCGCTCATCGCTCTCCCGGTGGGGACCAGGCCCCCCTGGCCTGGCCGCCGCCTCCTCCCGGCCCCAGAGCCCGTCCCGCCCCCCGGGATGGGACTGCCCGGCAGCCGCTCCGGAGCGCTCCTCGGAGGGGCCCTATTCTCAGTGGCACCCCGCGCCTGGCCCTTTCGTTCCTAGCCCGGCCCAGCGCCTTGGGCCTGGCTGTGGGGCGGAACGCGGATCTCCAACGCGGGGGGCCTGGCCCCACTCCCGGGCGGGTGCTGAGGCTCAGTCAGCCCTCGGGAGGGCATCGTGTTCCGCAGGCCGGCAGCTTGCAGCTCCCACCCTTTGCCTGGGTTGCCAACCCCAAGCAAGTGTTCAAAAACCAGGTGTCAGCTCCCCCGCCCCCCAAAACAAAATCATGAGATTTAAATAATAATAATGAATAAAGCTTTAGGCTCCTTTTATTCACCTTCTGATTATCTCAATGTCAAGTGACTTGTCCAAGGCCACGCAACAAGTCAGTCCAGAAACAGAACCCAGGCCACCTACTCCTGTACCCCTTGCAGTGACTTCATGGCCATCTGTATCTGTAGTCTTGCTCACAGGCTTGTGCATTAAAATTTGACTTTCGGATGGGCCCAGTGATTCAATTCCACAGCTCCAACACTTTGTCAGACCGTTTCAGAGGCTGAGCGGATGGCCCTCAATGTTTCTGACATAATTCGATACCACATGTACACAAAATGAAGTTTAAGATTTGTGGGAATAAATGTTAATTCCTAACATCAAATACTTTCTGGGGCGCTATCAAAACAGCAAGAAATCTGAACATATATGGGCCTGGGAAAATCCATAAAGATGAGGGCAGAATTACTGCTCCACACAAAAGGAAAAAAGGACTGAAGGCCCTATTCTAAAAGTTCTCCCTCTGTGTTACTCCCACTGACATCAAGGGGGATTCTGTGTGTGGAAGGCTTAAGTGAGTGGGACGCAAATAATCAACAACTTTATTAGTAAAAATATATTGTGACACTAGGGGTCGCAATGGAACAACAATAAGAGTTTCAGAGCCCAGTTTTGCACTTGTGTAATATGGTCATACGCCTTTAATGCAAAAAACAAACAAAACCCAACAGCCTGAGCATGTTCACAAAGCAGATTTTGCAACGTTTTAAAAATGGGGAAAATTGAGGCACAGAGCAATTCCCTGCCCAAATTCAGAATTCAGTTTGATTCTACTCAAAGGTTTTATACCACCACACCCATCACATCATTCGTGGTATCTGAGCACTTCAGGTCAGCAGGTCACTCAACAAGATAGTTTCCTAGCTGGGACTAAAGCCTAGACCCTCAATGGTATTTAGGTGCCTAACTCCAAATGATTTCAATTGGGGGTGTTAGGTGCCTATAATAGTCCTTTGAGAATCTGGAGCTAGAACCGTCATCTCTGGTCCTTATGCCCAAATTACTGTGTTTATACTTAAATGCTATGCAGGTTCACCACCCCATAATTCCACAGTGTTCTTTTCTCTAGAGTGGTGAGACTGGCTCTCTCATGAAAGTCTATGTAAGAGAGGATTAGCTGAGGGTTTACTTGCCTCCAGCCTGTCACGACTAGGCTTCCCTCTTTTCCCCATGTACTCTGGATTTTCTGACTCATCTAATACCCCTAAACACTGGAACTAAGAAAATGTATGCCAGAAAAACCAGACCAAATCACATGCCCCCACCTCCCCTACCCCTGTATTACATCCAATTTAGTGTCCAAGCCTCTCAAGTGCTGAGCTCATCCAGGATCTGGTTCTCCACTGCCTTCTGCAGGGTGAATGTAAAATGCTACCATTGCTGGGAGTGGAGTGGTCTGGTCTGAGAGCATTTGGCACAGGAATAAATGGTAATACAACGAAGCAGAGAATCAGGCTCCGTATAAAGTTCTGAACACCCTGCACTCCCCTGGAAACTTTTGGGACTTGAGGGTATGCAACTCTGTGCAGAACCTAAACAGGAGTTGCAGCAGGTGCTGGCCCAGCACCTGAGACCCTGGGTTTTCTGCAGCATCCAGAGCTGGCGAAAGAGAACCCCTAGGAAGCATGGGGATGGGGGGGAAGGGTCTTGCCCCCAGAGGTTCAAGACAAGCTTGGGGACATCTGAGGTCTGGTCCATATTTTTTAACTATAATGTTGGCAACTCCATTAATAAAACAGAATACTGTACAGCTCTTCTATATAACCTTGGGCGCAACATTCAGGCCCTGAGCCTGCAAACACTTAACCACGTGCTTAACTTTAAGCACATGAGAAGTTGCATTGACATCAATAGGACTACTCACCTACTTAAACAGAGGGATAAGTATTTGCAGGATCAGGCCCTTCATTTTTGCCTTTTCTGGTCTGAGATCAAGGCTCCTGTGATTTGTTGTTTGATTGTTTCTTACTTTCGCATCTTCTGTGAACTACTTAATGTAACTTAAACTCTGTATCAATTGCTTTAAAAATGAAGCAGCCTCACTGATTCATTTTCTGTTCCTTGTATAAGCCTTTTTGGAAAACCATGGCCTATTGTTTTGAAAATAGCATTTGAAGTCTTTTCCCTTCCCCCTTTTCATATCTCAATTCTAATTCCCCAACACCCTTAATCAAATCCTCAGTAGTTTAGAATTGTTGTTAAACGTCTTTTTGAGGATTACAATTGTTTTATTCCTGATTACACAGGGAACATATATATCGCTGTATAATCGCATTTGAAACATATAATCCCCCCAACCACCCAAAATGATGTTTATAACAATTTGAACATACCCCAGGCTTGGTTAAGGCGATTAGAAATACGATTTAGGTAGAGCCAGGGACCTTAAAATTTATACTTTTATAAAACATTTTTCAAGCTCTTATGGCTTTAAGGCTGGGGGGGATGAAGGGTCTGGAGGGGAGGAGCTAAAAGTCAATGCTCAGATTAAAACATGCTTTTAACCTGATTGGTGCTGCCCAGTTTGAGTGTTTGAAGAAACTTGAGTGTTTGAATAAAGAGGGGGCAGAGGAAGATGGGAAACTTCCCTGTCCCCATCACTCCTGTGGTTTTCCCAGAAAGGTCTCTGCATGAAAAATCTAAACTCCGTTGGGGATTTCAGTTAAAAATCTAATGAGTGACAGAGACAGAGTCAATGTAAGCAGCAAAGATTTACACATGTGCTTAACTTTACAGCCTAAATATGGATGTTACTGCCTATCTTTAGGCAGCCAGGTTTGAAAATTTTGGCTATAGCCTCGTTGCACCTCATTTTGCCCATCCCTAAAACCAGTAAAGTGGAGGCATGTTTCAGTTTTACCCTCTTCCCACTGTTCCTGTGTCACTTTTCTTAGATCGTTAGCTCAGTGGGGCTTGGGCTGTGTCTATCTTTGTGTTTTGTACAACACCTCATGCAATGGGCCTTTGGTCCTGATTGGGTACCTGTGGCTGCTACCTTAATTTAAGTATTAAACAATCATAATAATACCACCCTGGAGTGTTGTGAAGCTTAATTAATGAAGGTGTGAGTATGGCATGGTGCCATCTTGTGGACCATGAAGGTATGTAACAGGAAGTTGGCTACAAAGAAAGTGGAGACAGTCAGTTTAGGGGCTCTCTGAGTAAAATATTTAATCCATTTTCATCTACGATGTCATTTATGTGATTGTTAGATAAAAGCACTTAACTGAAACCAAAGATTCCATGATTGTATCTAAAGTTCCTCAGTTGGAATGCACTAGGGCAGTGCTACGTAGTATCACACAATAGTATGATTGACAAACCACTGATCTTCAAAACAGGTTATTGTCAGTCTGAAATTTTTCAAGTTTTGTGTTTATCCGGTGGGGGGGCCAAATGTCTTCTAACAGGTTACGTTGACTCGATTTAGTCACCTCTGCTGTTTGCTTCATCTCCATCTCAAGTGAAAGTCCAAATGCATGAGGCTTAGGTGCCACTTCAGTCCCACTTATGCATGATTAGATGGCGAAGGCTTAAGACTTGTGCCAGTTCTCTACACGAGGGTGGATTTCACTTGGATTTTCACAAGTGCTTGGTATTGACCTGCCTCTTCTCCCAGTGAAGATAATGAGAGTTTTGCCATGACCCCAATGGGAGCAGGGTTAGGCCTGTGCTGAGTGCTTTTAAAATTCCCACTCTAAGACTTTTATTGATGTCAGTCCTGTCTCACTCCATCCCATTAACTTAGTGTGGTGAACCCACCATACCTTCTGCCATACTATTTTCCACTAACAGCTGCTACTTCCTGCTTGTTCTCAGAGGGACTTGGACTTGAGGCAATGTTTCTAATATGAGGTGCGGATGCTGGTCATTCACCACATATTTTTTTGGATATTCTTTTTTAATCCATGCATGCAAACCAATCCAAGGAAATAAATCCTGCTGTGACCTCTAGCTGCTCCAATCTGGTCTAAAACAAACTCATAAATCCCCAAGCTTTGCCTTGGTAGTGACACAGTGTTTATCAATTAGACGATAAACACAAGCTCAGATATGGAGGCTCTAAGTTGGCACTGATTAGTGGCCTCCAAGTTCCACTATGCTACGGTTCTCTGACTTATTTCAACCTAAATAACAATACAGTATAAGTTGCTATTGCTTTAGGGTGACCAGACAGCAAGTGTGAAAAATCGGGACAGGGGGTGGGGAGTAATAGGAGCCTATATAAGAAAAAGACCCAAAAATCGGGGCTGTCCCTGTAAAATCAGGACATCTGGTCACCCTATATTGCTTAGAGAAACTTTGAATAGAGCTGGTCAAAAACCTGTTTTAGGGAGGGGAGGGGGAAATCAAAATTTCAAAGTTGTTTTCCTTCCAAAGTGTTCTAAATAAACAAAGTTGTTTTTTCTATATTTTATTCCAATATTCTTTTCCAAAGTTTTGTGTGGTTGAATTGTGACATCATATGTGACTCAGCCAATCAACATTCAATTGCTCTTAATTCATTTGTATACAGAACTCTGGTTAAAATATGAGAGCTGTTTGAGATTTTTTACACTTTAAAACTGTCTTATTTCACAGCTATGACGTCACAGC